GCGGCGCGTATTCCGGCCCGGTGGTAGCTGCGCGAGCTGTGTACACTCGCTGCTGAGCGAGGGTGATAGTGTCGTCTGGCTCAACTAGAGCGTGTTTCGGTCTGCGTGTGCGCGAAATTTTGCTGGGTGTGTAATTAACAGCCGCAACCACTGAGGGTTGGGGTGAGTCGGAGCAGAGTCAAAGTAGCTAAGGGAGCACTGTTTTATGAATTGCCTGATGGTCGGCAGCTCGAGGTCGATATGAAGGTCGATATTACGCACATACCACGGTGCTCCCGTAGCCCGGCGCATGAAATTATTTTGTAGTGTTTGTAGCCTATGGATCCTGTGTTGCCTAGCGTGTGCGAATACTACACTACCGTATGTCATGATAGGTCTGATACATGACGTGTATAATCTAGCTTTGTTTTTGAGTAATAATTTGGACTTTGCGTTGACTAAACTATGGAGTCGACCCAACACGAAGGCGGCCCTGTTACGAACCGCCTTAATGTGGGGCCCGAAGGTTAGTCGATCGTCAAGGATTATACCTAGATATTTGGCCTGTCTAGCCCAGGGGATAGGCGTACCAAACATCCTTATCTGTGGGGTCTTCTCCAAGGGATACAAGCGGAGCTGTCTCCTATGAAACAGAACCGCCTGGCTCTTCTCGGGGTTGACCTCTATTCTCCATTTCCGAAACCACGCGCCTACGGCGTTGGCAGCGGTCTGGAGTTTCCTGGCTACTGATGAAGGGTCTATTCCTGAACAATAGATAGCTGTGTCGTCTGCGAAAAGTGCTGTCTGCACAAGCCGATGCTTCGGGATGTCGCTGGTGAACAGCGTGAATAGGATAGGGGAGAGCACGGACCCTTGCGGGACGCCAGCTCGGATGGGGTGGGGGGAGGATAGCGATCCCTCTACGCGGTAGCGAAAACTGCGGTTCGACAAGTAGTCTCGTATGATGAGTACGAGTCTGTGGGGCACTCCCATAGTGTATAGCTTATAAATTAAGCCGTTGTGCCACACTTTATCGAAGGCTTTCGCTACATCGAAGAATAGGACTCCTGTGAAAAGGTTTCGTTGGAGCCGCTCGCTGGTGAACTCAACGATGCGGTGGACTTGTTGGACACACGAGTGCTTGGTTCGAAAACCAAATTGCTCGTGCGGTAACAGGAGGTTCTCATCGGCGTGTGCTTTCAGCCTACTGTAAATTATGCAGTCATAGATTTTACCTAAACCTTTAAGCAGACTTATCGGTCTATAACTAGCCGGCTCGGACTTTGGTTTGCCGGGTTTTGGTATCCCAATAACCACGGCTTCTTTCCATTGTTGGGGAAAGATATTGTCTGTGAGCGCTGCGTTAAAAATGAATGTCAGAAGGACCAAAAGCCTGTCGGGAAAGAGTTTAATGACCCTGTTTGTGATACCGTCCGAGCCCGGTGCTTTACGACTGTGTAGGTCCTTAACGATCGTGTTAACATGAAGTTATAAGAACGCCGTAATAAACTTGCATGAGTAACAAAACCATATCGCGACTCAAAAAAATGGTAGCACGCCATCTATCGAGGTAAGAAGTAGTTGTCATAACCACTCTTAGTTTTTCAGTTTGAATATGAACGAATGATAGCCTATTCAACAGTACTTATAATTAAATTTTATACATCAAACACTCAAACATAAAATTCTATTTTTAGTTCGATTGAGAAAAAAAAATGACGGGAGACTATAATTTTTCCTTAAATTTGTAAGATGTTGACCTCCAAAATGTATTTATTGCTCACCAGGACACTTTCAATGACAATAAATTACCAACGAGATCGGTATTGGATGCTGCATGGTTTTTAGATTAGATATTTATGTTTAAACATTTTCGTTTAAATATCACGGGACTACAATATCTTCTTCTTTGATAATATCTTAATAAGAATATACATTTATTTATATTATTTTATTGAAAATATTGTTTCACTAGTTATTTAAGGTATTTTTTTGGATTTGATTTAAGCTTTAAGATTTTGATCTTAGCTTAGGCTGTAAAAATCTCCATTCCGTTCTAATTAAAAAGAATAAATCAAAAAGTTTGTTACGATTCCGAAATAAAAAGGGTCGAAAAAAGTACTAACTCACACATATTATGATAGGGATAGGAAATAATATTTACTTAATATTTTAGTCACTACTATGATGTAATGTACTAGTCAATTTTAGGTCAGTGCTATGTTATAATGGTGTCATACTACATAACATCATATCAATGTCATCAGTAAATTGTTCGAGAGCACCTATCTAACTGCCTCAGCCAGTAGTGCAATCCTAGGCATCGAGATATCGAGCGCAGTCCAGTTTTGCGGTCATTTAGAGGGTAAGGTCAAATTGGCCTCGATGAAGCTCGGTGTGCTGAACAGAGCGAGGCAGTATTTCACTCCAGCCCATAGCCTCCAACTGTATAAGGCGCAAGTCCGACCGCATATGGAATACTGCTCTCATGTCTATGCAGGGGCACCACAGTACTAGCTTCTCCCTCTGGATTGAACCCAAAGAAGAACGACTCGAATCGTCTATAGCCAAAAGATTTGATACCGGCTTGATCCCTTGGCGTTACGTAGAGATGTAGCTTCGCTGTGCATTCTCTATCGTATATGTCATGGAGAGTGCTCCGAGGAATTGTTCGGACTAATACCGGCCGCAACCTTCCGCCATCGTTGCATACGGCAAAATTTTCATCCCCACCACTTAGATAATTGGCGCTTTTCCACTGTGCGCTTTTCAAGACACTTTTTGCCTCGCACTACCAATCTGTGGAACAAGTTATCGGCTGCGGTATTTCCGGACCGATACAACTTTCAAACCTTCAAGAAAAGAGCATACTCCTTCCTCACAGGCTGGCAACGCGCTTGTGAGTTCTAAGTTGCAGACGTTCATGGGCGGCTGCGGGCCATGAACGCCGGGGCGGTTGCCCCCATTTCCATTTAAAAAAAAAAACAATTTTATGTCATATCTATGGAAACATTCTATGATCTGTCTACGACCTATCTATGACGTCATATGGAGGTCATGTGTTCACCGGCAAATGTTTTAAAGGTGAGCTTGGGTTTTTTCTATCTGATGTTTATGAATTTGATACAAAATGAAATTTTAACTTATTACCAAATTTATGTCTTATTTGCCAGTACATTCGCCCTCTGCCGAGTTTGACAACCCATCAAACACGAGTTTTTTTTACTAATTTAAAAGTTTACACGATATGAACGTTTTTCTTTTGAATATATCGTTTAAACTCAAAGTTCAATGTATCCTTTTTACACGCTTTATATTAGCTTCACTTGTATGTTTATTTGTATGTTTGTAAACGACTCCTTTGGGCGTGATTTTGACTAACTTTAAACGGTCAGAATTCATTCAAACTTTGTAGATATAACGAGGACCAATGACAATACACTAATTTTAAAAAAAATAGTTTCAAAAAACTAAAAAACACGCTTTCTATAGAAAAACATTCTAAAAAATAGAAAATAAATTTGAAAAAAAGCGTGGGGTGCTTTTTACTATTGACAACAGGCACCCAGCGCTTTTTTCAAATTTATTTTCTATCGCTGTGTCAAAATACATCCTACTCGAATTAACGTCTAAAAAAAATTTATAAAAAATATAGTTTTTTAAAACTAAAAAACACGCTTTCTATAGAAAACCAAACTAAAAAATAGAAAATAAATTTGAAAAAATCGTGGGGTGCTTTTTACTATTGACAACAGGCACCCATGGGAAATGGAGGGAATGTATTTTAAGTAATAAACTGATCAATTCCCAAATCGGTAGTAATTAAAGTTAGTAACAATTCAATAATCATGTGTTGAATTTTGTAGGTAATTCTTATTATTTATTGTTATACAAATTTAAAACCCTCAAAATATTACAAACCCAAACACTTAATGTTTTTTGTTTAAATCTAAATCTAAAAATTTAAGCATAAGATATTAACCTCGTTTAATTAGAATTCGAGAATTATTTAATTAGAATGGATTTAAGATAAGGGCTGTTGCAAAGAAACTAATTTACAAACTACACTACTTTGAGCCAAAGAAACCCTACTTTCCTTTTAGTGAGAAATAAAACTATACGTTGTCTGTGGCATGACGTGATTGCGCTCGCGGCTCGCAGGCTCGCCGTCGCTGTCTCACCTCATTTGTCCGATCCTATGATATTTTAATACCTACACCTAATATTTTATATTAATCGATGGTGGATTGAGTTGTTGAGCCTATTAATTTTCTTTGTTTTTCAATCTTCTGGGTCCTAAAATTGTAAGTATATTTGCTTTATGGATAATCATAAGACACGGACTACATAATTGTATCTATCCTTCTGTCGAGTTTTTCCTTGCTAATGTCGTCAAGTTTTGCAATTTTACTTGTATAAACTATTTTATATGATTTAAATTTTAATTACTATTATTATTTATTTGCTTTTATGGTAGTATAGAGAGGCAGGCTGAATTTGTCTTATAATGATGTTTTAAAAGGAAGTCCCTTATTGTTATTGACATGCGAACGTATGTGCCTTCATTGGGAAACATTTCGTAGGGGTATCTTCAAAACGGTATTATCAGCATTTAACTAATTTAACGCACTAATGACAATCTATCTCTTGACAGTATTATAATGATAACTACAAAGAAACCAGATTTTACATTTAGTGTACCTAAATAGGCTTTATAGTGTCGTTGCAAGTGATTCACAGTGTATAAAAGTATAAACAACGTTAATCAACATTTGTGACATGTGACATAATACAATATATAGATATTTTGTATTACTGGAAGGTAAATCTGACTCTAGAGATGTATATTATTATCAAGCAAGATTTGAAAGTCTCTTCAAGGGCAACTTACAAGATGCCAGAAGTAACAAAACATATGCTGTAATCATTGTCTATGTCTCTGTTTTTATGAAGTTAAAATATTTCATTGAGCATTTATATGTTAACAACAATTTTTTAAATTCACTGTCTAATTTCTCAAGATGTCTGGTGGACACAAACATCGTTATAAGAATGTGGGGTTGAGTGTGGATGAACTGCGACGTCGCAGAGAAGAAGAAGGTGTGCAACTACGGAAACAAAAAAGAGAACAACAGTTATTTAAACGGAGAAATGTCAACCTGCCAGCACCTGACGCACCAGATATTGCTCAGCAGGTAATCATTTTCTCTACAACTAAAAGAAGTCAGGTTTCAAACAATTTGTGCTATGATGTCTTAATTACTTAAAGCTTAAAAACAATACATACATCCCTCATGGGTGATACATTTCTTTTCAATACTTTTTTATTAATAAACAAATACATTTTCATTCCTATAGTTGACTTTAGATGAAATATAAAACTTGGCATCTCTGAATTGCGTCTCTGATAATTCTGTTAAAAAAATCTAATGTGCAATATACAACTTTTAATTATCTTGACCAAATATTACTGCTATCTCAATCTTTGTCTTACCTGATGACACAACTTAATCTCTAAATAGGTTTACCAAACAAATTGGGTTGTGTATGATAGGTCGTTGTCCAGTGTTGACCAGTGTTGCAAATTAGATTTATGATTTTAATCTTGTTATTAATTACTTTTGGGTTTACATGGCAAAAACTTTATTTAACATAAACAAATGAAGAAAACATTATTTTTAATAGAGACATGTCTATATTTTGTTGAGTACTCACCTTTGGGGTATACTAAATGTGTATGCTATAGGATATATTTTAAAAGGAAATCTGCATATTTCTTTCATAAATTAAATCTTGATATTTTTGCCTTTCACAATAATACTGATTTAATTACAATTTGATCAATAAAATAACTTTTTTAAACAATAAAAAGACTTTTAAATAGTATCTGTCTGGTCTTCTGTCTTACTTCTCTTATCTTTGATATTAACTAGACTGGAATTTAAAAAATATATAGTAAAATAAATAATAATAGTTTTCTTTTTATAGAAAACAGAAAAAAGGTTTTCCTACAAGCCTATAAACAACATGATCTTAGTCATGAAGGTTGCAATGTTACTATAAATTTTAGATTTACAATTTTAATTCTTAAACTGCAATTTAAAATCTTGGAATAAATTATTTTAGTTACTAAGTACAAATTCTTAATAAACTGAGTAAACCATGTTGTATAGAAACATTTGCACATGAGTTCAATTCACACAGATTTTCAAAAATATACCATCTACGCAATGACTTGCTTATGCTTAACCCACATGCAACAATTACTGGCCCATAGGTCTATCCTTACTGGATTACTAACTACTAGACCAACAATTTGCCCAGCGGTTGTGGGTTTGATTGCAACCCAGAAGGCCAATTCTCATAATCAAAATTTTTTTTCCGATCTATGGTCGATCTCACAAATGTCATAAAAGGTACTTTTGTGGTAAAATAGTAAAGTACTAAGAGTATGTAGCTGATTACCAATTCAATTTTCAGTCACAATACTATATAATCAAATTACAGTAAACATTGGATGTTTAATACTTTACTATGAAAATACCTTTTATGACATTTGTGTGGGTGTAATTTATCTGTAAGTGTGTATCTGTTACATCTAATCCCAAGGTACATATGTCAATCGTCCACATGCTCCAAGCCTTTACAAACTGTTGGATGCCATTTACATCCTTAGAGTGTGTTAGTGTGTTCCGGACAGGCAAACATACCAGACATATTTTTATTAATAGTACAAACAGCTGCACTAAACTAAAAAACCTATAGCGTTACTGCTCAGCACGAGAGCATTAAGACTTGAATGTTGATTCCCGACTGCCCAACTAATATAATAATAATAATAATAATCTAGAGGTGCCATACTATAGGTATGTGCCCGACCCAGTTCTCGAGAATGGTCGGGCCACGTTGTATTGGGATCGATCTATTATCACAGACAGGACTATTGTTGCCAATAAGCCTGATATTGTGTTGATAGATCGATTAGAGCGCCGCGCAATGATTGTTGATATCGCCGTTCCTCATGACGAGAATCTCGTGAAAGTTGAAAAAGAAAAACAAATTAAATATTTGGATTTATCTCACGAAATTGTTGATATGTGGAATGTTGATTCAGTGATCATTGTTCCGATAGTCGTATCTGCTCATGGATTGATAGCCAAGAGCCTCGACCAACACCTTAAGAGGCTCACGTTGGATGGCTGGATCAAGGGTCTGATGCAGAAGGCAGTCCTCCTTGACACGGCTCGTATAGTGAGGAGGTTCCTATCTTTGGAGTCCTAACCGCCGGTGTCTTGGTCCCTGTACCCGATGTCGGTGGTCTACTATTTTTTATATTTTTAAATTTATTTTTTTATAAAGTGTATATTTAAAAATGTAAATAATATGTATATAAAGTAAATAAAGAGAATAATAATAATATAATAATCTACCACATTCACTCAACGCCATCTAGTCCCAAACTAAGCAGAGCTTGTACTATGGGTACTAGACAACTGATATAAATACATATATATACCTTTTTTTTGTAAATACATACATATTATACATAGAAACACCCAGACCAAATCAAACATTAAATGTTCATGCGCACAAATGTTTGACTTGACCGGGAATCGAACCCGCGACCTCTGGAATAGCAGTCCGTTACACAAACCACTACGCCATCCGGTCGTCAATATCAAATTGAGCAGTGGTGAACGAGCATGCGCCGACAGGTAAATACGTCGCAAACGCTTTGTCAAGCTCACGCAAGCCGAGCCAAACACCCCGTATACACGCTTGTGTTTGTGGACACTTGCCAAGCGTGTATACGGCCTATAAGTTCATTTGTCCGTACTCTAGTTACCATGATACAGGCACTGTCTAGTTTTCTAAAAGATGGCTATGTGAGACATGTGTCATGTTATCTTTATTATAACTTGAGACATATATGTATAAACTTAATATGAGATAGATTACTTTTATTTTGTAGGATGAAATCAACATATCACCTTCGGATGATATCTCTCCGGCAATGGTGGCAGCTCTCTATGGCGATAACCCTCAAGAACAAATTATGGCAACACAAAAATTCCGAAAATTGTTAAGTCAAGAGCCTAATCCACCAATAGACGAAGTGATACGGACTGGAATAGTTCCTAAATTTGTTGAATTTCTTACGAATAGTTCTAATCCAACATTACAGGTAATTTTGAATTTTTTTTTTTTTCAAATAAGTATAGGGACTAAATTGGTGTTTAATGCAAATTCCAATTTTATTTTAACATTACTCATCTGGTTCCAATGGTGGTACATCGAACGTCAAACATCAAAGAAAAGTGGTTATGTTAAACATGAATAATACTGCTGAAAACTTTTCAGTTTGATGAAACAATCATCAGATTAAATTTCACCCAAGACAACCGGAATAGTTTTCTTTAAAATTGCCAAATACATACCTCTATTAATTTGTCTTTAAACACATATTATAAATAAACTTATTATTTACTAATGACTTTATCCTTTCACATTTCAAGTACACATAAATATGATGATGTAATTTTCAGTTTGAAGCAGCATGGGCTCTCACAAATATAGCTTCAGGGTCATCGGAACAAACGCGTGTGGTAGTAGAGTGTGGCGCTGTATCTGTGCTGGTGGGGCTTGTGGGGAGCGTCAGCAGCGATGACGTACGCGAGCAGGCCGTGTGGGCGCTGGGCAATGTCGCCGGAGACTCTCCGCGTTGTCGCGACACCGTTCTCGCTGCGGGGATTTTACCCCCCCTGCTAGAGTAAGATTTCTTGTAATTCGTTATACGATAAATCAAAAGTTTTTCTTGGACTGCCCAACCAACATGTATAATACGATATGTTACAAGTTTTAGTTCTTTGTAGTATTATAAGGCTTTAATTTTATCCAGTTTTTATAATTTGCTCTATTTCCCATGAAAATCACCATTAAACTTAAAAGTATTTAACTGGTCAAACATTTGCTGACTGTAATACATAATTATGATCTTGTTATCATTAATCACAACAATAAACCTTAAAACATTAAAATCAACAGAGTGTGGCATAAACTTTGAAAATCTTCCATAGTTTAATACCTGTTGTGTTGAAGAAGATTAAAGAAATTCTTACTGTTAAGCCAACAGCATTTTCATTTACATTTTCAATATAGTCACACATAAATCTTACCACATTACTAAATACTACTTATTCAGTTGTAAAAGAGGTCATATCCATGTACTGTGGTCAATAATGGCTTAAGAAGATCTTGTGCTGACCACTTTTTTCTATTGTCAGGCAGCAAATGACAGCCCTGGTGCAGTGGCTGCATACATATATACACATTGAAAACTTACCTACAGGCAATTAGGCGTTAGATTGCCACTTTATATAAAAAATAAAAATAAGAAAGTTTTAAATTATTTTTAATTTTCAGGATATTAAATAAGTATACAAGGTTATCTATGACTAAGAATGCTGTTTGGACTCTTTCAAATTTATGTAGAGGCAAAAATCCTCCAACTAACTTTGAAGCTGTTGCACCAGGCAAGTTAACCGATTTTGTGCTTTAAAATGACTATATTCATACAAAAAAGTTAATATATTTTTTCAATTCAGGAATTCCAGTCTTAGCGCGATTGTTACACCACACTGATGCGGATGTGTTGAGCGACGCTTGTTGGGCGCTTTCTTATTTGTCGGACGGACCTAACGAGAAGATTCAAGCTGTTATCGATGCTGGAGTTTGTAGGCGACTTGTCGAGTTACTGATGTAAGCATTCAATTTCGTATTATTAAGGATTCTATAAGAGAAGCTATCCAAATTATCGCTACTTTTGAATCATATGACTGCACGGATGGCGTAACGGTTTAGCGGTCACCTCGCCGCTTCCTACTGCGCTGAGTGTTGTGGGTTCGATCCCCACATGGGACAACACTTTATGTGATCCACAAATTGCTGTTCCGAGTCTGGGCGTTCTTTGTGTTTGTTTCATGTATGTTTGTAAAGTCCCCCGCGACACAGGATTTATTCCTAGTGCAGGCGTTATCTTTTAAAAGAAAAAAAAAGATTAAATGGTTGGTATTTGTCACAGTGATTTTACCTATAATTGCGATTTGGTCATTAACAAAGATAAATGCCATCAAAATCAATCAAAATTATTTTTATCTAAGATTAAGTTTTTTTTTAGATTTAGACCTTTCGCGAGTTTGGCGCTAACGTAGTAGTAATAATAAGTCGCAGTGGTTTTGTAAATTAGTCACTGGTGTGATTATATGAATTATAACTTGCTAGGCACAATAAGTCCACGGTGGTGTCGGCGGCCCTGCGCGCGGTCGGCAACATCGTGACGGGCAACGACCAGCAGACGCAGGCGGTGCTGAACTGCAACCCGCTGCCCAACCTGCATACGCTGCTGCGGACCGGCACCGCCGGCCTGTGCAAGGAGGCCTGCTGGACATTGTCCAACATCACAGCCGGGAACGCCGCACAGATTCAGGTAAAATACTACTTTGTACATTATTTTGTTTTCACAATATCGTAGTTTTTGTTGCCGTATTTCATTTACACGATAATCGTAAATGTACATATTTGAATAGCAATGTTAATGCAACATGAGCAGAGAAACAACTGAAATTTAAAATATCAAACTGCCTACTTTATTTATCAATCAAATATCAAATATTTTATTAGAATTATTAATACAAAAACTTGATCAACACAGAAATGTATTTGCCTTTTTTTTCATGGCCAATGTAGTAATTGTCCAAATATATCATTAAATACAATTCAAAATGAACTCGTTAACTTCTAAACTGCTTAGTTGCACTAAAAGTAAATATGGTTTGCAATTTATGTTTGAAAGAGCTTAGAAATTTAGCTTATAATTTGTTTATTTTACATGTAGTAAAAGAAATGTTATTCGTTTTCAGGCTGTAATTGATGCCAACATATTCCCAGCTCTTATTGAGATTTTAGGACAAGCTGAATTTAAGACGAGGAAAGAAGCGGCGTGGGCGATTACTAATGCGACTAGCGGAGGCACTCACACACAAATTAAGTACGAATTAACATTAATGGACAACTTTTGTATATTGTTTGACCTATTACTAAATTCAATGAGTCATGGTTACTTAAATAAAATTATATATTATTATTATGTGACTGGATACCAACCAACCAACCAACCAACAGGGTCTAGTGATTAGTATTATTCCCATCTATGACTAATTATTGTGTGATGAATATGCTCACTTGCTCTTTATCTGGGAGTAATTTATAAATAATGTGTATTGTAGGTATTTTTTTAGTAACGACTGTTAGTTAGTAAACATAACTATTGGTTTTGCTTAGTTTGGGATCAGATGGCCATGTAAGATGTGGCAAGTGTATTATTGTAAAGTGTTTTTTTGTTTTGTTTTAGGTATTTAGTGGATCAAGGTTGTATACCACCCCTATGTGACTTATTAACATTAACGGACGCCAAGACAGTTCAAGTGGCTCTCAATGGGATAGACAATATATTAAAAGCAGGACAACAATCTGACCAACGTGATAACCCCTATGCAGTATTGATTGAAGAATGCTTTGGTAAATATTTTTATAATATTTAGAGCAATTTTAGTTATGACTTTTTCCAAACAAAATGTTTCACGTTTTAGAAACTAGTCTAAAATCTTTGTATTTACATCATCAACTATATTTAATTAGATTAAAACAGTTTTGATATCATTTTGTAATGGAAAAAGTATATATCATATTTAATTCTGACGGGTCTGTTTAGTCAGGGGTTAGTGACCCTGACTGCTACGTCAGAGGTCGTGGGTTCGATTCACACCCAGGACAAATAATTGTGTGAAAAGTATGATCTATGGGTCTTTTACTAACTAACTTACGGGTAACTTTTTTATTTTTAGGCTTGGATAAAATCGAATTCCTCCAGTCCCACGAAAACCTGGACATCTATCAAAAATCATTCGAGATTATCGAAAATTACTTTGGATCTGAAGAGGAAGACGGTAGACTCGCTCCTACAGTATCCTCTACTACAAACCAATATCAGTTTAATACCGACCAGTCGGTCCCTATGGGTGGCTTCCAATTCTAACCTAGGCTTATAATGCTACTTTGTATTGATGCTAACTGTGCAGTGAGTACTTGTTTGTGATATGTATCTTATTTTATTGATTAGACAAGTTTTAAATTTGTGATTAGACTACATCCATGTATAGCAATTTAAAACTTAAGTTTTATTTCACTTTACATAAAATGTAAAGACTACCTTATGTTTGCATGCAGCCATTTTAATTTACTTTTATTAATCTGAATGTGGTAAACCATTCATGTATATAATTATGCACTAAAACATCCCTTAGGTCTCAATATACAACAAGTAACAGAAAGCTCACTAAATACATTTATCGTAATGGGGTAGATATCTTTCAAGCGTATCAGTATCTCTTTATTAAAAGTGAAAACGATACACGCGCTACATTTTTTTATGAAATATTATGGCGTGACGTCACACACAGCTATTGTAAAATCATTAAATAATGTTGATTTTAAATTACCAAAACAATAAAAATGGACAATTTTGGCTGTACTTTAAGATGACTTTTACCTTTTAATGATTCAGGTGAAATATTTTTTTTTGAACTAGGAGACTACCCTATTGTCTGCACGTGGCCATGGCGTGACTAAATCTATTTCACTCTGCATTAAGTATGCATATCTCTCTCTATCTCTCTCCTTGGTATCGACAAAATAAGGATGACGACATACTCTACCGCGCTGCTTTAATCTCAATATTACTTTTATCTAGATATCCAAAAAAATATCATTCTAATCTATGAATCACATGACATATCTTGTTATAAGGCGATAGGCTATCTTAATTTATTAAAAACACTTTCAAAATTAATATGTGCCTTGCGAAGTGCTGCCAGTACGAATTACTGACCTCCACTAATTATAAGGTCAAAACTAAGGTATTCAATTTCCCAGACTCAAATGTCTGTATTATACAAGCTTTTAGATACCTCTAGTATCCAGTTTTTACGGAGAAAACTTGCCATATCTTTCTGTTACGTGTTGCATACATTTGTGATGTGTCTCAAATAATACTTGATGAAAATAAATATACATTAGTAATTAGTATATTCTTGTAGGATTATTGCTAATTGGTATCACAATTATTACAAATATATTGGTGACTGTAAAGTACAGTTAATATAGTCTAGGATTTAACACAAAACTTAATAGATAACTCATTTAATGGAAAAAGGATTTAGACAGCAATTAAAGCTTTGTTATTTTAAATGTTAACTGTCTGCTTTTATTATTGTATCAATAATATCACTTAGCAAAATTTTGTAATGTATACATATAATCAAGATCAATAGGCACACCCACCCACTTTTTAGTCATGATTCCTGATAAAAAATTAAATATTTATTTATGTTCCTCAGAATTTGTTGAAGGTCTTATATGAATTTGATTTGTATATATTATGCAGTTATAACTTTAACATAAGTGTGAAAATGTTTAAGTAGAAAATAAATTAAGACTTTTTGAGCTCTAAATCTTATTCATTGAGCTTGGTTCATCAAGTTTTATACCAATTAAGAAGTGATATAAAGAAGTGAAAAATCCTTGTTTAAAATTTCATAACCAGGTAACAATTTAAAGAAGCTCATAATAAACCTATTCTTGATAACCTATAGGGAACTATACAAATACGTCAATAATAATTAATACATAGTTGCCAACCCAATGTAAACCCAATAAAAATATCTTTACATAGCATGTAAAGATATTTTCACCACCAGGACACAATGTATCTTTCACAATGTGCTGAAATATTGATGTTGTTCACTCTGGATAATATCTTCCAGTTACACTTGTGGCTGCTATTGTGCATTGTGGAGGCTAATTGACGGACGACATATATGTATGGCATATAGGATGCTCAAACACATTTTTAAGATTATTTTTTTTAAATAAGGGCAATTGCAGTAACATTTCATAAAACTAAATAAAAAAATATACAGATTCCTCATGTAGTTTAAACTAATGAATTAAATGGGGTTACACAAAGGGTGGCAACAGCACGCACTTGTGGCTTTTTAGTTCGAGTGTCGATGGGCGGGCGTTGCTCCCCTACTGTCAGTTTTTTTGCACTCTATTACATAAAAAAAAAATGAAGCTGGTGTAAGATTTCTTGTTCAATCACAATTAAACTTAACATTGCCATTGTTTTACTAAGGTTTAAATTAAAGTTAAATATTTCACATGAATATCTGCTATATACAGTAAATAGACAATAGATATGCATTTGGTTTAATTTCTGTAATTTAAATTAGTGCCTATTAAAGCTTTTTTCTAATAATATTCTCTTAGTGAATAATACCATTATAGAATTAAAAAATAAATGCTTAGAGAAAGTGGGGTGATAAAGAAATATTTCTTTTTCAGATATCTATGTATACAGAAGTGAGTAGACCCAACTACATACTTCGTTGCAATAACTGTATTCTGATCGACTTACACCAATGTGTATGTAATTATATTTTGCACCCAATATGTATAGGTGTTTTAATTAATTATTTATGCTATTAACAAACGAATTCGCCTTCTTATTTTTTTATTGTAGATAATGGCGTATCTAGTTCATTTGTTTTGTAGCAAAGATTATGTATTTCGTTGGCCTTCAAGCTTTAGTTACTAAAATAATAAACTTTTATATTGTTATGTGAAGACATGTCATTTCGTAATGTATTACAGATTGGTAACAACACACTAATGTGATTTCATTTATTGTTTTTTTTTTCAAATTAATGTCACTAGTTCCGTTCAGGAAGTTAAATATCTAGTTAAACACCTTTCATACTACTCCAAAACCTTCTTACAACCTGTATTGACTCCAGCATATAACGCATTGCAGTCTAGGTGAGCTTAGCAACTGCTATCCATCGTGTTGTAGGTTTGATAGTTTTTGACAAGGATATTTACAGACTGCTCTTTCCTGTCGTCATCATGACGTGTTTGTATCAGCAACTTACCATCTAGTATTTTTCTACCGCCATTTATATCTGATCAGCTACCGGTCGAAGGCGGATGCAGGGGTACTCCCCCTTGGTTGTAATCAAATTGGAGTTTGTCGTGAGGCCTGACTACACATAAATGACATAGGTACCAGGCCGGTACGCACACTTACACACATTAGTCGGCCATTACGCTCACAAACATCAAGACAGCTAGACGCATTACTCGGCGAAAACATAAGATATACAACATGTTATGCGTAGTGAAATGCTGTAAGACCGTACTGACCGAATGAAAAATAATCCAAGAATCACGTTTCATAGGAAAATGACTAATACAATCACTTATTTCCAGATTTTATGCATTAAAATTCATCAGCATTCGCTAGAACAAAAACCAATTTTCACGTGTGCAAATTAATCTGTTAAACTCAAATAATGAAATTCGAACGATGACATCTATAGTTTTAATTGCTACTTGTAATCCATTTTATTTTTATGTATGTAAAAAAAATATCAGTAACTTCGAAAAATTTTGTCAATCCTAGCATTTTTTACAGGGATTCACATACATCGAGAGCAATTGCACTGTAAAACCTGCACTTTAATGTTCGTAATACACTCGGTTCCAAAAATTACGGGTCAGTCACAAAAATTGAAATACCTCCAGAACTGTAAAAGTTAGATCAATGAAATAAATAACAGAATAAAGACTTTTTAGTTGCGCTTCTAATAGCATATTATTTAAACTGGTTGATGAAAAAAACTTCATTAGCAAAACAAAATTAAAAAAAAATGACTTTTTAAAAACAAAATTTTTGTTTCATTTCATTATGAATGTTTTCCATTTCTATTCTGTCACAAAAAAAATATCGTGAACGTCTTCCATGTGCATAATTATTATTCTGTGAGGTGAAGCATGGCAGTCACGCTAGAGGAATGTACCTGAATCCTGAATTGGGCGGAGCCAGCGTGAAACAGCCAGAAACATTGGTGTATCTTTGTCGACTGTTCAGCGGGTAGTCCAGCGGTACCAAGAGACCGGATCACACCTTAGAAGACCAGGAAATGGCAGACCAAGATGCACAACGGCCAGGGAAGACAGACAACTGGTGGCTACAATGCTCCGAAATCGTTTTCAAACTGCTGTTGGTCTAAAAACTCACTTTATTCGCTTTGGAGGTGGCAATTTAAGCGCTCAAACAGTAAGAAGACGTCTTGCTGAAGCAAATTTGAAACCATTGAGGCCCGCAAATGGCCCCAAACTGAAACGGGGACATCGAATTGCAAGACAGAGATACGTGCGCGAGCACCTAAACTGGACACTAGACGATTGGTCTAGGGTAATATTCACGGACGGGTCTAAATTTATGCTTTATAAGCATGATGGTAGGCAGTTGGTGTACAGAAGACCAGGGGAGCGCTTCCATCAATCGTGTGTGGAGGAAAAAGTGGCGTACGGTGGAGGCTCCGTACAAGTTTGGGCTGGGATTTCTACTGAGGCCCGCACCGAGCTGGTACTCATTCAAAATGGAACTCTAAATGCAGAGAGGTACGTGGAAGAGATCCTTAATGAACATGTAGGTCCTTTCATGGCCAGGATGGACCGACATGGCATATTAATGCATGATAATGCGCGTCCCCATACCGCCAGAATTGTAGATGACTACCTTGAAGAGGTCGGTATCGAACTCATGCAGTGGCCAGCGCGAAGCCCGGACTTAAACCCCATCGAGCACGCCTGGGACGAGCTTCAGAGATGCGTGAAAGGTCGAAACCCCCCACCAATCACGGGAATGGGAAGGTATTCCTCAGCACCGGCTCCGAAATTTGATGTACAGCATGCCTAATCGCCTGGAAGCTGTCAGAAGAGCTCGTGGAGGCAATACAAAGTATTAAATGAAGAAAGTGATGAAAAACAGCAAAAAATAATCATAAAAAAATGTAATCTTAAGAAAAATATGACTACTTTAGTTTTTTTTTTAATTTAGAGATAAGTTAAGAGTTAGAGAGTTTAGATTTAAGGTTTATTTTATTTTTTATCTGTATAATTAAATTCTCAATTGAACATCTTCGTTTCATTAGGATGGCATACGTAGTTCGGGAGATATTAGGGTTTATGTGACTGACCCGTTATTTTTGGTACCGAGTTTAGTTTGTACCCTATACATTTCATTGTTGTTTAGCAAGTGTGTGCGAGTGATATCTATTTGTTTGTATTATGTGCATGTGTTAAGATGTGGCGACATAGGTTTTGGAAGTAATCGGGCGCTAATTCGTTTGTAGTGTCTTATTATTAGGATTTCTGTACCTTGCATACCGCCAAATTTGGTGAAATCAAATCGGAACAAATATTCAATTGTGCGAAATTTATTAGGGGGTTACCTGTGTTACTATCCCACAAAAAACATGTTCATGTAAAATGTTGCTAAGACGAGACCATATGACTCACGCTGTCAAAAGGTTATAAGATCTTATGTAACTTCGAACTCTACCAAACTCTACACCTTAGTCGGTTATAGCCGAAAAGTTAAGGGTTTTTGATCTATAGATTTGTAATTGTAACTAAATACACTGTTGAACATTCGTTAAAATTATATTTCTGCTTATTCTTAAACAAATTAACAAAATCAAAACTTTTTCTTACACTTAAAGTTTTTACCAAGAACATCCAATATCATTGAGATACACAAGCGTTCTTAGGAATTTATGATCCTGGTGGAGTTTATCCCAAAACTTCATTCTTTCATGAAAGGGATTTCTGCCCTTTGTAATCTCTGAACCAATACATAAATAATTTAATCTGTCTTTGTTTTCAACGGGATCCCAAGTAATTTGCAATAGAGGGTCGTTGTCATCTGGTGTCGGGTTTCTGGAAATTATTTTGTATATATAAGTTGAAATTATTAAGGAAATAGTATCGAAGTAAAAAATATCGAGTTACACAAAATACCGTCTACATTATACAAATGCCGGGTTTTTTTGTAGGGTAAAAAAAAAATTTTTTTGGGAAATACCAATTGGGACTACTTATTTGCATTAGGTTTTCTTCGAATAAGGTTAGATCTCGAAGGTCCTAGGGTTAAGAATAATTTTTTGCTGTAAATATTTTTAAAGGAAAGCTATAATTATTACCTATTGCAAGTCTAGGAAAATGGTTGTCAATAAGAAAATTTCACAATTTCCTTTTAATGAAATTACGCGCCGCATGAAATGATATAAGCCATACTGAGAACTGAATACCCGGATCAGCTACATACTGAGAAACGACTGGCTGCCTAATACAAATACGTTTTGAATGTTCAGTCATATTGAAGAAGGTATTTTGGTAAATTGCAGCAGTATCAAAGTATTAGAACATCTACTAAGAGGTTCGCATAACTAGAGCCAAACGCTGCTGTGTAGATACTCTACAAGAGACATGATAGCATAGGCTATCGTTCGTATAGCTCGATTATCAAGAGTAACCATTAGTAGATTTTCTATACACTCTGTGCCTTTAATCTTTCTTACGAAAATTGCTAAAGTAAATTACCCAAATTTAGCAAAATTACTCCACATTTTAAGAACTTTCTTCCTGGTAAGCTCTAAGTCTCTACAATGTTTGCCATTTTTTGGCATTTCAATACGAAATACAATGGGAAACTTGTCGCTCTGTTCAAGAGCGCCTAAGAAATTAACTTCTTTCGGCATCGCCCATTCTGGAGCTCGGTTTATAATAAAGTAATATATCGGGATTTCTGGTGCAACCTCTGTGTGTATTCGTACGGATTTATTTACATAATATGAAAAATAATAATCACTGATTAATTGCAAGTATTGTGTTGTAGTATCGTTTGTTAAGCGAGCATCCCCACCGAGGTAAAATTTCAATAGCTGATGACCTATATTCTTCGACAATTTATCTTCGGCGGCTAGAGACCTCGGCACAAGAAGACAAACATTGTCGTTGATTTTGTCAAAATTTACTGTGTCTTTATTCATTAGTTTTAAATTGGCGTCTGCTATATTGTTACTACCAATCATCAAAGGGACCTTGTGGAAATTTCCTGAATTCATAATCAACACAGGACTTTTCGTGAGAAATGCAGGTTGGCCTTCAAATTCTATCTCAATACACGGTTTAAAGACGGTATCAATAACGTCATTGTTGACGCCGTTTCGGATCTCAAGTGACATTTTTTTAAATGCTGTCATTATTTCACATGCAGACATAGATCGCAACTCGTCCACAATTTCTACAGTGGATGTTGTTTTAATATTCAAATGTTTTGCCAATTCCATTACTGGTTGGCATGGGTTTTTTGTAAATGCCCAGTTATTTAAAGCACTTGCACTTTTAATTATAGCTTTGTGGAAGAGGCCTGTTGCCATTGGTGATAACATCATGAAATGGACTATGGCTCCTCCTGAGGCATCACCTAAAATTGTCACATTGTTAGGATCTCCTCCGAAGACACTTATGTTTCGTTGAACCCATTTTAAGGCCATTATTAAATCTTTAAGTCCGCAATTTCCAGGTGCTACATAGTCATTAATAGAGAGAAAACCGAATGGTCCTAATCGAAAACCACATTTTACAAATATTACATTGTGATCATTAGTTAAAACTGACAGTGTTGATATGTTATCTATATAGTAGGCAAAGCTATAACTGCCTATCCAAAACATAACTGGCATTGGTTCCTTGGGTTTAATATTTGGGGTAGAAACTTCAAGGTAGAGACAATCTTCTGATCCAGTAATTGAGTAAAGAGATTCCTTATCCAGTGAAGGGCAAATAGGTAGAGGAGCATCATTTGTGCAGTTCAAGATATCTTTCCAAGGTTGTAATGGAGTAGGTGGCTGCAAAATAAAAAAAAACTCATTTAATTGGAATTATTTAAGAGTCCATTAATTGTTTAACTTTATTTATGTGATAACTGTATACAATAAAGATAAAAAAAAAATTGTGGCTCTCAGATATATCAGAGAATAGTTCCATTTACATCAAATCAGAGTATTTTCTGTCTTTTATAATGTTGCACTGTGTGACTGGTTCATTTCTTAGTTCAACTTTTTATAATATCACAAGTCTTCTAGATCTCATCAGATTTACGTTAAGTAACAGCCCAATAACAATGATAGGGGATAAAGATAAATAACAAGGGAGCTTTTATTATTTTGTAATTGAATACATTGGCTTTAAAAACAACTGACAACACTATACGTTAGATTGTGGCATCCTTAATCCATACTAATATTATAAATGGGAAAGTGTTTTTGTCTTTCTATCTGTCTGTTACCTATTCACGCTTAAACCGCTGAACTGATTTAAATGAAATTCGGTATAGAGATAGTTTGAGTCCCGGGCAAGGACATAGGATAGTTTTATAACAGAAATCATCTTTTTAGGAGTTGAAAAGGGGGTTAGAAGTTGGTATGTGGAATCAATAACCGCAGATCCGATTCAGATGAAACTGATTCTTGATAAAGGACATAGGCTACTTTGTACCGCGATAACCGACATACACGCGGGCGGAGGCGCGGGCAAAAGCTAGTTTAAAATACAGCTAAATATCAAATATTTAGGCCATCTTTATACAGGCTGTAAGGGACGTCGTAACGAATACTGAAATAGTGTATTCAGACCATCATTCTGAATCGAAAATCATTGGAATTTTCGGCCGGAAAGTACATTTTTTTTTTTTTTTTTTTTGACTAACATTACAGAATATTTTACCGAAAATAATTTAATAAGATAAGACGAGAGAATAAGACCTTTGGACTCTCACTAGCATTTACTCTTTATATGATGCATTACAGCCTGTGAAACTAAGTTGAATTTATAATAGCAACTTGAAACATCTCACACATGGCCATCTAATACCAAACTAGGCAAAGCCTCTGTCCCCTATTATGTTAAACAGACTGCTGACAAACTTGGTTGTATATTTCTAAATATGTATATACATATTATCGATCCATATATCTCACCTCACAACTATTATTTTTGGTAAAAGTAGATTTTTGTGCAAATTATATAGTTTGTAAAATGAAAATATATTTTAATGCTTTTTTACCTATGAAACAAAATTAGTTACAAAAATAAAGAAGTGTTTGATACTACCCTTTAAAAAAAAATTGATGCTCTTAAAGAGTTAATCATTTGGTACATGTGATGAGGTGCCATATATAGACCAAAACATGAATAAATAAACGACACCACAACACCTGGATCAACTGTGAAGATCACTGACCAATAGACCCATCATCACATCACATCAACAGACTTTAATAGTCCACTGCTGGCCATAGGCCTCTTCTTAGAAAAGAGGTTTTGGCCTACTATGCCACTGCATAGTTTTCTCCCTTAGTCGGCTCTTACGACAGTCACGGTATGAATAGGGATGGTGACACTCTGTATTATTAATCCGTCACCACACGGACTGATGGACCCATAGAAACTGTCATCTTTATTTTTGTTAAATAGAGAACAGATAAGTTTCATTTATAAACAATATCCTAAACCAGAGTGGTTTGGCATACTTAATGTAACTTCCAGAAACATTAGTCATAACTATTTAATATAAACTTACCATGAATCTTAATTTACCAATAGGGGGTTTAGCATATGGAATACTTTTAAATTTATAATAAGTCCTACTCTCTATTTTATCTATATATCCACAAATTGGTCCATCTTTTGTTTCTAGTATGCATTTTAAATCTTCAGATGTTGATGTCATTTTTTTGAAAACCTGTAAGTAATTTTATGTAACATAAATTTGTGTTAACTCAAGGTAGTTTCAACAGCACAATATATGAGTACTTTTATGACATGTGAAATTAATATATGTAAAGTATTTAGATAATACATAGTTAGAAGTTTGTTACTGAAGTTATTTGTGATAATTCGAGAAAACTTAGTTACTAAACATTTAATATGTTACTATATCTATATTGGGATTACATCGAAATACACAATTACTAATTAGTGTTCCTTTCTGCTCCTAAGTAAGTACTTACTGAATATTAGCAACTTGTGATTGCACCGTACTTGTCAAGGATGTTTATTGGTACCGGTTACCGCTTACTATCAGGCCACTGTTGTTGTGATAGTATGAAGTTACTTAATTACATTCAATAATAGTTATTTAGTAATAGTACGTAACTAGCTACAAAAATACCTTATTACTCTTTTGTGAAAACAATTTTTTTTTATTTTTTCGCATGAAGTCAAGTTTTGAATGGTGTCAAACTTACCTAGTTTAGGTTGACAGTAATATTTTTGACATAAGTGATTAATTTATTCTAAGCACACAAGTTACGACAGAGAAAACTAAGTCAACGTTATATTAAGGCATCCATTACACGGTAGATTTTGCTGTCAGTTTTAACTTTTACTACAATCAACAGTACTCAAGACTGACTTGTGGATAACCTAACGTATCGTGTAGCGATGGGTCAACAAGTTAACAACTCAACATGACTTAGTTACTCGAGTTGCACACGACTCGTTTTAACTCCAATTAGAATATTCGTTAGAGATTTATTTTAAGTTATCCTGCAAATACTTTGTAATATAGTATGCTGTAAACATTACTTCAACTTTAATTATATAGTTCCTATTGCAACGCATTAATCAAACCTAAGAAAATAAATTTATTAAAATCTGTAGAATCAGATGACAATTTGTTTATATCTGTACAACAAATTATTGACTGCGGTGTTTTCACATCGATACAACCAATGATATTATAAGTATATCATTGGATACTACGAAGTACGAACAATAATTTCTTTAGAACAGTAAAGTAACCCTCCTATAAATGTCGCTTTGAATTCAATTCCACAACGCACACAAACTAACAGCAAGTACAATGAAACACACACTCATAGGCAAAACTTGCCCGCGATTGGTTGCATCAACTTCGCAAACGCCCTTGAGGACGAGTTGTAACAGACACGTCGATGGTATTATGCAGGATAACGCTAAAACAAATAAGCTTGTTAACGTGTTTATTTTTTTATTGAATTAAAGGACTTTAAAGGTTCATGAACCTTTTGTAGTAGATGATACGTTATAACTGATTTATAATTATTTCCAGTGTTTATCGAATGTACATCACTATTCTTAGAATTTAATATTATGGTTTCATCTGCACCTTTGAGATGACACCATACTATCAATACGTAAAAAGTATCGATACCTCAGGGTATCGATACTTGTTTCGTTACCAGGTACTTTGGAATCGATACTTTGTTCCTATACTTTTGAGGTATCGATACTTTCGTTTGCCCCATTTCTAATAAATTATTAGCTTAAGAAAAAAAAGTAGTGTACTGTGGTTTTAGTAGTAGATGTAAGTGAAACTTTTTTTCGGGTCAGTCAGCTGATGCCACTCAGCCGGCTACAGTGCGACATGCGATAGAAGGACCTTTACGAGTTGAATAAATCTTGGTAAACAAAGTCACCAAAATATGTGTCGTAGAGAAGGTGCCTACCAAACAAAATTATTCTTTCGCTTTCGTCTCGTCTTACTCGAAATCAAAACGTATATTATATTACTCGTACTTGCATTTAAACTTAAATCAATTTCAAGAAGTTGCCGCCGTCTGGAGTTATCAGCGAAATGTGAAAGTATTAAAAAAAAGAATTAAGATGATACAGCTTCGTGTAAAATTGTTTTAAAATTCTGAAAACAAGTGGGAACGCGGAATATTTTTTTTGCATAACTTAGCAACACAAACAACAGTCCATTCTTTTTTTTTATAAATGTATTAAAAATACTCGATACCTTCAGGTATCGATACTTTTGTTCCGATATTGTTTTTGGTATCGATACTTTTGATGCGATACTAGTATCTGAAAGTATGAAATTTTGCGTATCCTTATCAATGCGATGCAATACTTATTTATTTTCTCAAAGTATTTCCTCTTTGCATGTTCTAATATTATTTAAGTATTGACAAGGTAACTATTTTGTTTTAAGGTGAACTGTATTATTGTTAGCACCTCTTTAGTCATTAGCACTATTTTAAAAGACGTCTCATGCATCGGTTGAACTCTGATTGCCCGAAACTAGTTTTAGTGCAGATCAAAACTTAAACTTAAGTATCGATCTTATTATAGAATGCGTTTTAAGTTTTACTCAGTTGATACTTTTTTTTTCTTTTTTTTATTCATTGCACAAGGTTACAGTTCATATAAACACAGTAACAGTGAAGAAAACCACAGGTGGTATTAGGCTTGCCAGATATTAATTAGACCTTATTGTCGCGAATTCTGAAAACCTACTAGTTTTGTAACAAAAGAAACTAACAACGAATGACACGGCTGGCCTGCCTGTGAGTGCGGGCAGCGCGCGGGAGGGGAGTGCTTGCTAAGTGCGTAGATACCTATCTAATAAAAGTATGTATTTGATAATAAATGGCATTTTCCTCTTCAAACACAAATATAAATCCTTTGAAAATAAAAATAAACAAGATGCTTTTTACTGGCCACGACCCGACACCGTTGTCCTAGAATTGTCCTGGATTTGATAAGTTTCTATCTGGCAACCCTAGGTGGTATATGTATCACTACCATCACTCGCTTTGAATGTAATACAATGTAGATTTTTTTTTTACAAAATAGCTGACCCGGCAAACATTATTTTACCATTTACATTTTCTAGCAAAAAAATTGAAAAAAAAAATTTTGGGGTGGCTCATCTTAAGGATTAGCCACCCCAACATTTTTTTTTTCAAAATTTAGGTGGATCAAAAATAGATGTTGTCCGATTCTCCCCCTTAGCCGATATGAACGCTAAGATTCACGAAAATCGGTTGAGCCGTTTCGGAGGAGTTCAACCACGCACACCGTGACACGAGAATTTTATATATTAGAGATATTATTTTTTATATATACTTTTCAGCTCCATCCTTTGTAAGGTAATCTTTTTGAGAAGCATTTCAGTGGATTCTCCGAGAGTTTATCTACAATGTTGTTTTTTAGTTCGTTAAGTAGTTGTGATAAAATATATTTTGACGACGCTTGCCATACATGTTGTTGTATGATGGTAGTACATACCTTGGTAAATATGGCAAGCTACGTAGATTATTTAATCTTATTCTTAATTTTAATGAAGCTATGTTGTCAACTTCATCACAGATAATGTACATCTTTATCTTGTTATGTATGTCTATGATTTTACAATGTTTAAACAAGTTGTTAGTATTGTGTTTTTGAAGGTTTGAAGGTCGTATTGGTCCGGAAATACCGCAGAAGATAACCCGTTCCACAGAATGATTGTGCGGGGCAAAAAGTGTCTCGAAAAGCGCACAGTAGTGGAGCGCCAATATCCAGGTGATGAAGATGAAAATTTTGCCGTGTGGAACGATGGCGGAAAGTTGCGGCTGGTATTAGTCCGAACAATTCCTCGGAGCACTCTCCATGATGAGAATTATGAAACTTTATATGGAATGAATATCTGTAATTAATTAAGTAATTTAAAATATTTGTATCATTTTATGTACAAATATTTATACCTTATTAATTTTGTATTATTGCGTTTTAAATAAGTACTACACATTTTTTCAGTTCAGTTCACTTGATTTTATTAACGTCAATTACCGATAGTGGCCAAACCCACGTACTTAATGTCAGTCTTAAAAAACAGACTATAGTTTTAGTAATACTTTACTATTGTACTATGAAAATACCTTCGTCAGTTGCGAGATCGAGAGTTGATCAGAGGGCCTAGTTCGAGTTCATTTCACATCAACTTGATGGTCACGGTGACCGCGTTGGCCCGCACTGAAATCTTAACTAATCGCAACGCCAAACGCGCTCGCCGGGTCGTCAGAACGGGTTGATCGGAAATAAACTTTAACGAAGCCCTCATAACTGCATTTTGACCGAATTTTGGAACGAAATTCCTTTTGCGACGATATGGCGAGAGGGATTTCACGAGTAAAAGCGTACCTTACGAAAAAGAGTTAGTCGCTATCTCTCTCGCTTTGCATTCACTGCCTGCAGAGCGAAAGAGAGAGAGAGAGAGAGAGAGAGAGAGAAAGAGAGAGTAATCCTTCTACTTGCCTTGCGCATTTTTGATTTAATAACTCGAGATAAATACATTGGATATCGAGACATTTGCTTCAAAACAGCTGCTTTTCTTTAAACAACTATATGTACTTCACTAGCAAACTTTTTTTTTTTAATACCTTTTCGAAAATCTATAAAGGAAATATTCGTCAAATAGCGTAACGTCGCGTCGTTGCGACCGTCGTTGTTTAAGACCTTCTATGTCTAGAAATGTCAATTTTCCTCCTATGTCTAGAATTGTCGATTGAAAATTGAACCGACTTCTAACAATACTAACAAAGAATAACGGGTAACAATATAATAGCAATAGTCCCTTCTAGTCTGTTTGAAGTGGGTACCAAGCCAAATAGGTGCTTGAAAGGCTTGGTGGAATATGGCGCGGCAGCTGCAAGAGTCTTCATGCTGCGCAGAACATGCTGAACGAGACAAAGTGGGTTACGCACAGTTCAAATTATATTATTATTTTGAATGCTTCATTAATGGTTTATAAGTTTTGCGGGTCGTAGCTAGTCTAAAAAAGTACCCTAAGTTACTCCTTATGTCATCAGCTATCTGCCAGTGAAAGTCTCGTCGAAATCGGTCCAGCCGTTCCAGAGATTACCCGGAACAAACAGACAGACAGACAGACCGACAGACAAACAAAAATTTTAAAAAATGTTATTTTGGCATACGTGCCGTGTAAACATACATATGCATTTAGTAAACAGCTGTTATTTTAATATTACAAACAGACACTCCAATTTTATTTATTTGCATATATTAATTCTTAATTGTGCTAATATAAAGTTGACAAGACGAGTATCACTTATTGTGCATCGGGCTTGGCACAGACTTTAACGGACTAGAAGGGTCTATTGCTATTATAATGTTACCTCTTATATTGAGGGTATTTATCATTGTTTTTTTACTTAGATTTGTAATTATTTTTTAACTTTTAGTACTCTTGGTCAGTTTTGTTTAAAGTCGGTTCAACTCTTTTAAAGGACTTATTTTACCATTTTTAGTGTAAGTTATGTTTGTAATGATTAGATAAGTGCGAAATTTAAAACAATACGTATTGTAATATATATTACCAAACCTGTAAAATTTATTATTGTAATATATATTGTAGTGTGTTAGATTATATTACATATAGTTTAATAAGTCCGTTTCTTTAGTTAGATAAGGTAGTAAGATGTTACATTTGAATCCGAAAATATATTGTTTTCCACATTATTTAATTTTCCACCATGAGTGGCATTTTTTCTTCACATTCGAATGGAACAAAAGGGGAAGTATAGGTACCCTTACAAATAAAAAAGAATTTTCTAAATCCGTTTACAAATGAAAGAGTTTTGAGGTAACAAACTTGTTTGCCACTTTAGTAGTGGTTAGTTTAGTAGTGCTTACTAGCGTTATGAATATTGTGTAGCAACCATATTTTTATGTAAAACCTTACGAGGGTGGTCTTAAAAGTTTCCGACCTAACAAAGATACAAAACCTTTTATCAGATTTTTATTTTTAAACATAGTCTCCTTGTAACTCTATACACTTCTCCCAGCGATGCTCCCATATCTGTAACCCGTCCGTAGTATACGGCGTTTTTCTCTGCAAAATAATTGTTAACGAAGATGATTGCCTCTTCATTTGACAAAAATTTCTCGTCCGAGCGCAATTTATCGCTTGGGGCTAGATCTGGTGAGTAAGGCGGATGGTCAAGCAGCTCAAACCGTAATTCGTGGATTTTCGCCATAGCAACCGCTGAGGTGAGACGGTGCGTTGTCTTGGTGAAACAGGATTTTCTTTTTCTGTAAATGTGATATATTTAGTAGGCTCCTGTAATGGTTTTTCCTTTTTGGAGATAATCGATTAAAAATAACTCCATGACTATCCCAAAAGATAGTCGCCATCAATTTCCAAGCCGAAAAAACAGCTTTTGCCTTTTTTGTTGCCGGTTCCCCCTTTGCAGTCCACTGTTTGGACTGTATTTTTGTTTCGGGCGTATAATGGTATATCCAAGTTTTATCTACAGTAATTAATTGGCGCCAAAACTCGGATTTATTGCGCCTAAACTGCGCCAACAGAGCGTTAAAAATGTTCATTCGACCAGGTTTTTGGTCTAACGTGAGCAAACGCGGCACCCAACGCGCGGACAGCTTTCTCATGACATGTTGGTTTAATATGTGACAAACACATTCTTTGGACATGTTCATAACCTCTGCTATCTTTCTCACTTTAATTCGACGGTCGCCTAGCACCATTTGGTGAACTTTGGCGATGTTTTCGTCAGTAGTTGCAGTTTTTGGACGTTCCGAATGTTCATCGTCTTCCAAGCTCTTATGGCCACGTTTAGTTTCAGCTGCCCAAAATTTCACACAGGTAAGTTATGGTGCAGAGTCCCCTACACAGAATTCAACTCACCTTTGATTTGCGTAGGCATATTGGCTTTCAAAAATAAATATTTAATGACAGCTCGATACTCAATTTTGTCCATTTTCATAAAAACACTCACAGTAACTCCCTAAAACGACTGTTACATAACTGCGCGTTCAAAATGGCTGAAACTTTGGCGAGGAACTGTCAACAGATTAATAACGAAATTCACTAGCTTTAATTCACGAGTGCTGCCATCTTCGTGTTGAGGTCGGGAACTTATCAGACCACCTGTTTATATTATGGGCTAAACCAACTGTATTTATGTATTTGTGATAATAAACATACTACGGGGTTAGACGTGCGCGTGTGTACTTAACGCGCTCAGATAGATACAATTTAATGCGGCCGGTAGTTACCGATGGGCCCCAGTTGACGTTTTAAAGCCGAAAGAACACCCGCACGTTTGCACCCCAGAAAGTACTTAAATCATCCACCGACTTTTATTTTTAAATTGCCCGTTAACCACGCCACCATACATCACCTGCAGTACCTACACCTTTAAATTTTGAGTCGATTGTTATTAATAAGTCGATTTCACTAAAAGTGACAGATGGAGGTCTTGAAGTCGCAACGACAATAAAGAACTTCGTTCCTATCGGGTGGCCCACGACACCACACGGCTTTTTTTATTGCAAGAATTGGCCTTCTGGATGTTTGTTTTTGTACCTACATTGCGCAGTTATATTGTTTATTATTGACAGTTGTATTATTGACTTTTGAATGAACGTGCATAGCCTGACTAGCTAAAACGAAAAATATCATATTATTATTGCAAACAAGTGGAACTTCTAATTTGTTTTATGGGCAGGAGTAACTTTTAAAACATTGTTTGTTGTTGTATTGTATTTGTTAAACTACCAAAAAAAGTATAAATTGTATATACGTAAGACGTAGCTTAACTACATTGACCTCAATATTATTGTAACTGTATTGAATACATTGTCTGGTTGCCTATTTAAATTCGTTCGTTGGTATTTTTGATTAAATTAATTGTTTAAAAAAAAACATTCACACATCATCATCACACATCGTTTAAAAAAAAAAGAAATAGCCAATCTATAACGGCAAGTTCTTTTAAAAGTTGGCGACTGTTATCATGATTCTAAAATGGTATAAGACTTCTGACATATAAAAGTAAATTTTTGTTGTTTGATAGTTCATAATGCTATATTATTAACAAACTTTATGTGCTGCAGTATTTCAGTAATACTACGAGGTGGATAATAACATCATTTGTTGTTGAAAATCAAATAAAATAATAGTGATTTGTAATACTTTTATTCCGTTAAATCAAATGCCGGTAAAATCAAAAGGGACATATGCTGGTGTTATAATGTAAAGGCTTCGTATGACTTAAACTCGTTAATAGGCAAAGATCATTTAACGATTTAATTTTAAGTTACTTTTTAGGAAAACAATAAATATTAATAGGCAGTTACATTAGTTTTTACATTTTTGTTAGATCAATTTCTCGATCATAAAATTCTTTTAATACATTTACATCCATGATTACTTTATCGCAATATTTTAATTTTCTGACCTTATCTCTTCGTATCTCTTCTTCATCATTTGCTAACATTGTTTTAAAACCAATAGAGCTAATCAGGTTTGCAAAATATTTTCTGTTACTGGTAAATTTTGGAGCAAGTCCAATTGTTGTTTTCGGAGGGTAATTCACGAAATTTTTCAGTTCGCCTGATTTAAAACTAAAAAAAAAGTAAAACGTAATATTACTGTTAGTATAGGCACCTTCTCGTAACTATTATTATTGTAAATTTGTTGTAAATTGCTTTCAAAATAATGGTGGCACAGGACTACCACACTTCTGAAAGCAATATTTTCTATTGTTGGTAAAATTTGGAGTAAGTCCAAACATTGTTTTTGAAGGGTAGTTCACGATTTTTTTAATATCGTCTGATGTGAAATGATCATATTTTATTGTTGTACTTCTACGCAGCTTCTGTTTACTAGAAACTGTTAGTGTACATTTAACTGCCAATGTGCGTAAATCAGTCAGTGTACAGATTAATTTATTCATCTGTACACTAATTGAAACGTAAGACGTTGATCCTTACTTTTTTCTTGTTTTTTATTCGGTGAGGAATATCAAAGGTAACCTTTAAAAGTCCAAAAGATAAATAACTGTGACTCACGTGACTCAAACACAGATAGATAGGTCATCTACAATCAAGTTGGCAACGGTTACTCCTTTCTCTTAAAAAGTGATTTTAATGAAAATTACAAAAAATAATAATTACATAGTACCTACTCCGAATTTGTGACGGATGTCAGCATGTTACTTACTGTTGTTCTGGCATTGTTGACATTGCACACGTAATAAACATGTGCTGAAAAGCATTAAATGTTTCGAATGCAGCCGCTTTAGCCTCCTCGTACCTACCGAAATAACAAGTGCTAAAATTTATAAACTATAATAATAAACGATTATACGGAAATGGTTTGAAATGGATCGTAGGTCTCTCTATACTAAAATAGTATTGAAAACGGGTACGCTTTCTTAGGACTAACCTAATACTTAGCATAATACGTGCTTATTGTGTGTACCGAGAAATCGAAAGGAATGTTTGATAAAACTTAAATGAAATCGAAAGGAATGTTTGATAATAACTTAAATAATTGCTTTGACATATTGTAGATAACGAACACATAATTTTACTTTGTAATTTTGCAACTCCTTAAATAAATACTTTTGTATCGGTTAATAGGTAATATTAAAAACAGTATCACCAATTCACCCTATTATTTCAAAAATATTAAACTAAGATGCAGGTCAAATAGAAATTGCCTATTTAAATACCGAAAATAATTATAAATAGGAAAATTAACGTAATCAAATGAAATTAAATAAAATATTGAAATATACAAATCTCGTACAGAGTAGAAACCGATTTACACGATTGAATGATAAGCACCAATAATATTGTCACACTATTAAATATTTGCTTTTTTAACATTTTGTGCGAAGGTAAGTTTTTATAAGAACCATATTGTGTAATACAAGGAAATCCATCCACGTTTTGCAGCAATAAAATCAATTTATTACACCATATTATATTGGAAGATTTTATGTAGTGCAAAACACTTCGGGGACGGTTTATTTAACTGTACCTATTGGGTTTTAGATTGATTGAACAAATCTTAGACGATATGCCAACATACGAGTATTATTAAGAGTATAATCACGGCTTTTTGCCTCTAATATTTTCTACCGTCACTACTATAAGATGCTTTTAAGGAATCTAGTCGATTAAAATCACATAGTGTGCCTTACTCTGCCTTTATAATATAGAATTGGGGACCATATTCATCATCAACAGTCTTTAGTAGTGCACAGCTGGACATAGACTAGTTGGTAAAATACAGGCCTAAACGGACGTCAAGAGTCAGTAATATTTATAAGTATTATTTTTTCGCGATATTCTGGTTTCCATTCTTTTTCTCAGTCCTGAGACGTCCACTTGTGGGTATTGATTTCCTCCATGGTTCGCCACAACCCGACTCCATCTTGGCGGAAGCCGTTGGTTGCGGGCATTTCATAAAGGCCCGTTTTTGCGTAATTTTCAAATATTAATAATTTTACACTTTTTTTTAGTGGATAGATTGATAGTATTTTAAAGTATTTATTATTTTGTCATGAGATAATCTTTAATGATAGGTTTGGTTGGACAGTGGTCTGTGTATCATAGGGCTAACACAATCTCAAAAAGAACATTCATACGGCGTCCAGGGTGAATGGGTGATAGTAAGTCCGATTCGAGAGCGGCAACCTCGGTCACAGTGTAGACAGCCATGTTGCTGACCAGTAGGAGTCAATGTGCGCTTGCGAGACAAATGGTCAAACCAGTCTTTATCGTGCGCAGTCACACTTTCCGCGACAGTTTTCCATGTCTCGTTTAGCACTATCTTCAAAACGGAGCACAGTACGACTGACGGGACGTTTATGCTTGGCAATCCTGCAGTTCCGCGCACTGTCTCATTTGTGACCTTATCCTTTCATGAATTGCCCAAAATGTGTCGAAGACAACGCATATGGAAGCTGTTTAATCTCCGCTCCTGTTTCGCATACGATGTCTAGGTCTAAGCTCCGTACAAGAGTATCTACAAGATGCATGCTTGGTACACGATCATCTTGGTTTTGATGGTGAGATGCATATTATACCATACCCTGCCACCGAGCTTCTCAAACATCGTAGAGGCCTTGCCGATGCGTATGTTTATTTCGGCATCAAGTGATAAATTGCTTGATACTGTGGAGCCAAGGTAGCAGAAATTGTCAACAACCTCCAATGAATTGCCGTCTAATAATATTGATGGTTTTAGATCACCACCCTGCGTCATGATAACAGTCTTCCTGGCATTTATGGACATCGAAAAGAGTTTGCAAGCGCCATTAAATTGGTTGACCATTCTCCTCCTCCTCTGGGACGCTGCCACGAAAGCTGCATCATCAGCAAACAATAAGTCCACAAACATGTTCTGGCGGTGTTTTCTGGACCTTAAGAAAGAGATATTACCATCCACCCTGGTGTGAAGGTGTATGCCTTGAATAGAGTCGCCAAAAGTAACCCTTAGCAGCGTAGAAAAAAATATCCCATACAAAGTAGGCGCAAGCACACAGCCTTGCCTGACCCCTCATGTCTTTTAGCGTCAAGCAGTGGTTGAAGATGGTCGATGTTATCCTGGAATCAATCAGTCCGAAATGACGTTTTAAAGCCAAAAGCTTCTCCAGCCGTCTGTGTGGAAGGTACTTTACTTTGCACCATTCTTGACTTGCAGACATGTTGGGATCGAAGGTGTTTGTTTCTCCTCGAACTAGCTTTGAGTACAGTTGAACCACGGCTCTGTCTCCTTCCGATGGGACCTGTATCCTTTTTTATGGCGAAGAGTGGATCTTTTTAGACTAAAAAGAGGCCGTGGTGACGACGAGTGAATGATCGGTGTCACAGTTAGCGCTATAGAATGTTCGGCTGTAAAGAATATCCCGCAGATCTTTCTTCCTCGTGAAAGTGACATCAAACTGATGCCAATGACCAGAACGAGGATGCTTCCATGACACTTTGCGAGTGAATATACCTTTAAAGTATGTGTTAGTGACGCATAGCAAATTTTGAGAGCAGAATTCTAAGAGGCGCTGTCCGTTCTCATTGATCTTACCAACAACGTGACTACCGACACATTCCGGCCAAGATGTTTGTGACTGACCCACTTGCGCATTAAAATACTCCAATATAATAAGGCGATCGCCTGAACGAACTTCTCGTACTGTGCGACTAAGCCGATAATAGAAAATGTCCTTAAGTTCGGCAGAAGATGACAAGGTTCGAGCGTAAGCTGACATTAGTGTTATAAATCCACTATCGGTGTTGAATCTACACACCATGATCCGTATGGAAACGCCTCTGAAACCTTCGACACTGTTCAGAAAATCATTCCTCATGGCAAAACCTACTCCGTGCTGCCGAGCCTCAGATGAGTCCCTTCCCTTCCAGGAAAACGTGTAGTTGGATTTACGCAGATACCCTTCATCAGCTATTTGAGTCTCTTGAAGAGCAGCTATAGCTATACGTAGCTGTACAAGTTCTGCATCGATTACAGCAGTTTTGCCAAGATGCCTATCGCTGTTAAAGTTTCCGTCGGTGAGCGGAAAGGCTGTCCACATTGTACGGACATTCCAAGAACCGATACGCATTTGAAAAAAAATGTGAGTTTTCTTTTTGGTCGCAGGTGAAACAATTAACGGCATTGACTAACTAGGAATACTAGTGTTCCCTCCACCTATAAGGAACAAGCCAACACCGAGACGCACAAGTACCCTACTGGCCGGGGGCTGCCCGGCTTGAAGCGGGAGGTAACTTGTCAATGGGCCTACGATGGACCCTCCTATTGTATCGAACTTTTTACCGTCTATCCGTTTGAACTTTTTACCGGCCTGCCACTCTCCGTGTTGTTTTCCACTCAGCGAGCTAAAGTAGGGGAAGTGACCTCTCCACAGACGCTGCATCGCCTGGGACGCAATTAACATACGGGTATGGCCAGAACCCATACCACTCTGTCGACTTCACCAACTGGGTCCGCAGGAATGAAGAGTCATTGCGGAGTTGGTTCAGTTGCAGGTGCCAGTGGCTACACAACAGCCAGGTTTTATTTCAAGTTTCCCATCTCTGACTTCTGTACTAAAGGCACAGATGCTACGCTCCAGTAACATCACATTCCATATAGTTCGAACCGCCAGGACAAATCTTCTGCAAACGATTAAATACCAGCAAGTCCGAGCACGGTCTGTGTATAGTGTTTAAGAAATATACCAATTACCTCAAACTTCTGACAAGTTATTGTCCAAGGCCGTTGTCAGTTAAATAATGTCCCGTCCGCATCAGCCCCTATATTAGATAATTGTAACAGTTATATACTACTACAAAACGTCTAGAAAAATGGTTTTACTTTATTAATACCAATTGAAGAAAAAAAAATTGGTGGTGGACAAGAATTCATGTTGGTTGTTTTCTCAGCTGTGTTGATGAGGCAACCTATTTACTACGTAATCAACCTACAATAGTTTTAAAAAATATTCTTATTCTAACGTTAAATATATTGAATGTGAAGTTAAATGGTAAATCAGTTTCAGAAAAAGTAGAAAAAGAACTAGTTACATATTTAAAATTGTAAAAACAGTTATAAAAAATAAAACAACAATACTGCCACGTAAATATCATTATATTTTATTGTTTATATTTTAGATTGGTCAACTTCCCGATCGTATAATTCTGGCATTATATTTTCATCCATCACAGCGTTGTCACAATATCTTAACTTTTTAACAAAGTCTTTTCTAAGATCCTCTTCATCATTGGCTTGCATTTCTTTAAAACCGAGAGTGCTGATCATATTAGCGAAAAATTTTCTATTGCCGGTAAACTTTGGAGCGAAACCCACTGTAGTTTTTGATGGGTAGTTCACGAAGCTTTTCAAGTCGTCCATGACAAAACTGTAGCAAATAATAATTAATAATACTTACAATACTAAACTAAATTTACTTACTGGTACGCATAGAATATTTAAAAATATGTTACTGTCATGTCCGAAACGCAGTGTATATCAAAACCTACTTTCTGAGGAGAGGCTTATGTCCAGCAGTGGCCTGTCAAAGGCTGTTGATGTGATGTCTGTTAACATATACCAAGTTTAAAAGAAAGTGAAAGATATTTTATTTATTGAAAACATTATGGTTTCTAATACTACAGTTATTTATATTATGAGCGACAAAATTAGGATAATTTGGTACTAAATAAAAATTAATAAACATGAAAAATAGTTATGGACAAATGCAATATTCATTTTTAGGCTTCCGTACCTCAAAAGGAAAAAGGTCCTATAAAGCCTCCTCGTTAAACTATATTTATAGGATCATTTGTTGTAAACCAGTCTGTCTGTTCGCGTTTAGGTATTGAGTAGAAATGAAAACTATATACTCAGGTCTACAGTCCCTTGAAGCTGTAAGATTATGAAACTCCTAAGTTAACGTAAAAAAAATATGTAGCAAAACGCATACTTCGACACATCAAAATTCATAGGGTAATTCCCGTAGATCTATAACTCTGAAATTTGGCAACTAACATCATCTTATACTACAAGTACATTGAAAAATCTGAAAACTAAACATTTGTAAATAAATCATAAAAATATAGTCTATAAAAATCGTTGAGGTACAATTTCTCTTTCTGAATTTCGGACAAAGCTCGGCAAAACTGATATATTCGATTCCTGAACTAATTATAATATGTACCTACAATTGTGTACGGAACCCTCGGTGGGCGAGTCCATCTCGCACTTGTTCGGATTTTTATAAAAATAAATAACAGATGTTAATGGTATTTGTTGTGTACAGTTGGTTTAGCGGGTAAACCCTTGTCGCAGAACTTTAGTCGAACACTTTTAAAAAGAAATACTATCGTGTAAACATCGTGTAACAAAATTCACGGTATTCACTTGGCGTATATTATTCACGGGTGCATCTCAATATTAACCAATCGGACATTCACAGTAACATACACACCTACATTTTATAAAATTTTCTTTAAACATAGTACTACAAACACCTTCCTTTCTAACTTTATTACTACTCACAAAACGAGTGAAAGTGATGTTGAGTTCTTAGTGCTAAGATAAATTTATACAGCCAGTAAGATTAAGTGTCCTGGAAGCATTTTGCAGAAAATAAGGAGCTAAGTCTAATTAGATTCTTAAAGTAGACATTGTATTTTCCTACTTTGGTTACTATATCATATAAGAAAATCTGCGTATTGTCTGACTGACGATATGTGGAATACCTTTATAACAATAAAAATTCTAGTCATGGATTGATAAATTAGCTATTTTGTGTCTGCTGATAGTCAATCTATCATTAAATGCAGTGTATGTGAAACTAGGAGGCACCTAACATTGTCTAGGACTAGCCATTCTTTGATTTTTGACGAGGTCGTCGGTGAATCTATTAAAGAGTAACAGTACTTGTCAGTTCTTTAGCTACTAGTGAAATACACGTAGTTATTGGCTGTAACGGCATAAATGTCTAAAATCTCACTGACTGTTGGCTGGGCATTGTAAAGGCTGCACATTGTTTATACATGTTCATGAAAGTGTTCAAAACGGTTTGTGCAATGGGTAGGGCTGCTTCATACCTGTAAAAACAAAAAAAAAACTATAAATTAAGTAAGGAAATAGTAGTGCTTATGTATTAAACAGTTAGGCTTTTGACTATTTAATAACTGTTAGTCTGTAGTAATCATTGAGGGTGGTTTGCAATAGTTAGTAAACTGCTATAGTCTAAAATAAACTTTCAACAGTCTACATTCTACAGTCTTGATTGCATCGGAAGGACCCCTATTGCGCAGGCTACTTTTTAGCCCTTTTTTTTCATACGGTTACTCTAGAAACAAATAAGAAATGAATTCATACTTGCGCTCCGCTATTTCTGAACACAATAGTTCACATATGACCGTTGAAAATATTAAGATAAAACCTATTTTACATAACATATTTTATGAAAATATTTCCAAACATTTTTGTACAATTTAAAGTACTTTTGTTCTTCTATTATATTATATAGGTACTTCAGAAAATTGCCATGAGTAATGCATTGCGAATCGTAAAATTTTACTATGTTTTGTAACTACTAGTATATGTAACCAATGTGCGTCCTACACATGGTGCTAACACACGATCGGAGAGCAAAACCGTGGCATACTAAAATGTAAGTTATTGGTTTTTAGGATACCGTAGTCCTAACAAGGCACTCTTAAATTTCCACAATTTTTGTTTGTCTCTGCCGCGACTTAATTTAAAGACGATTACTATTAGATAGATGTAATTTTGTATAGGTATATAATTATATAAAGTCGCTAATAAAGTGGTAAAATAAAATCATCAAAAAACCACGAATACCTCTGGTTTTGAAAACTATTTTTCGATTATTGGAATGGATATATGGAAATATTAAACTTTGAACTGCTAATTTTCCTAAGAATCACGCGATTGTGTGCAACATAACCACGAAGTTGTTACGAGTATGTTATTTATTCGGTTTCATACGAAAAGCAAATTCCTAACTTAAAATGTACTCGTAGATTAGAACAGTTTCACTGTAAGACATGCGTTCAAATGCCATTCTCCTTAACGCATAATTTTAAAATCATATTTTCTTTCTGATCCTGATAATATTCAGTATACATTACAGACAAGTGCTTCATGCCGTTGTAGAGACATTTTTAGTTTAGAAAACATATCTGCCCCCCTTGTCATACATACAATGAGTTGTCTTTCTTGGCGTTATGACTTACTGTACTCGGCTTTTTAATAGTAAGAAGGTGGACTGCGCCAGAAGTTACCAGATTGAGCCCATTTGAGACGCTGTCGAGAAGTAGCTGATCTTTGTACACTTTCCTTTATCACATCAGAAAGATTTATTTATTTTCAAATTAACATGTCGATTGAAAAGAAATTGTTTATCAGAAAAAAGTGTAAAGTTACAAAAGTTTGGTGGTTCTTTTGCTCTAAATGTGTTTTTGTTTTTGGGTTAGGAATTAAATTTCATTACTAATACAGTTTCGACATCGTTAATACAGTTTGGGGTGTGAGGGGCGAACCACCATCTTTCGCCCCAAGCCAACCTCACCTGCCCGCGGTGCATCCTGCTGAACGACGAACGAGGCTCTGGCGACCGACCGATGGCGGTATATCCATCCCAATAGGCGTAGCTAAATACAACAGGCCGGTGACGGGCAGCAGCGTTACCGGTGCGACAAGCTACGCCCTGCGATCGCCAACCCGCCTGCCCAGCGTGGCGATTATGGGCAAACCCCTCCCATGCAGACGCAACAAAGGCCACGGCCCCCAGTTCCCGGCGGCCCCGCTATTCCTGGTCATGGTGGCGACCTCGGTAAAGGCGGGGCAGGGGGTGCGAAGAATCTCCGGGCTACGGGAGGCCACCACAACCGACTGACCCTGGCTACGTACAACGGACGCACGCTACGGCTAGACTCGCATCTGGCGCAACTTGAGGTGGAACTTGGGAAGATTAGGTGGCATATCCTAGGGCTATGTGAAGTCCGAAGAGAGGGGGAGGACACCATAACCCTCGAGTCAGGCCACCTAATGTACTTCCGCGAGGGAGACCAACAATCCCAAGGTGGGGTTGGGTTTCTGGTAAATAAGTCCCTATCTGACAACGTTGTGGAAATTTCCAGTGTGTCGAACAGGGTAGCGTACCTCATTATCAAGCTCACCGAGAGGTATAGCCTCAAGGTTGTGCAAGTATACGCACCGACCTCGGCACATTCGGACGACGAGGTGGAGGATATGTACGATGACATATCGAGGGCCCTCCACTTCACAACTAAGACCCACTACAACGTTGTTATGGGTGACTTCAACGCTAAAGTGGGAGTACAGAATTGCGGCGAATCGGTAGTAGGATCTCATGGATTTGGAAGCAGGAATCATAGGGGGCAAATGCTGGTCAACTTCCTCGAACGGGAGGGGCTGTTTTTGATGAATTCTTTCTTCAAGAAACAGCCCCAAAGGAAGTGGACGTGGCAAAGCCCCGACGCTATGACCAGAAATGAGATCGATTTCATCATGACGGATAGAAAGCACATATTCAGAGACGTCTCAGTGATCAATAGGTTTAATACCGGTAGTGATCACCGACTTGTCCGGGGCTCTCTGAATATCAACTTTAAGGCGGAATGTGTCTGTTTGATGAAATCCAGGCTCCGACCAACTCGGCTCCAAGCCATGACAGGATCTGAAACGTTCCAGTCAAAACTGGAAAACCGATTCGCTGCCGTGGAAACCACAATCGACGTAAACCAGAACCTCAAAAATGTGGTTCAGATCCTCAGGGAAGAAGGTATGAGATTTTGTGAAATGCAGCGTAAGGGCAGGAAGTCGAAGCTTTCAGAAAGGACCCTAGGGCTGATGAAGAAACGACGTGAAAACCCACCTGTCACTTTGTCGGCAAAGCGGACTCTAAACCGAGAGATCAGTAAACTCGTACGACACGACCTCCGGTGCTCCAATACTCTTTCAATTGAAAGAGCGATCGAGCAAAATCGGGGGTCAAAAGTGTTCGTACAATCTCTTGGAAGAAGCCACCTGACAAAGTTGACTACAGAAAGTGGAGAAGTCGTTGCTTCGAAGCCGGCAGTCCTTTTGGAAGTGGAAAGCTTCTATGGCCGGTTATACGCTTCGCATGCATCTCGACCTGATCCCGAAAATGAGGACTCTAGAGCCACATTAACACGTCACTACACCGAAGACCTGCCAGAAGTTAGCATTGACGAAATCGAGATGGCTCTTGGACAGCTGAAAAATGGAAAAGCCCCTGGAGAGGATGGCGTTACAACAGAGCTGCTGAAGGCCGGGGGTAAACCCGTACTAAGGGAGCTCCAAAAGCTCTTCAACGCTGTCCTGTTTGAAGG